AGATGACTTCAAATAAACTTATTATGCAACTCTATTACAAATTCTTTGCTTACCTAGAAGCTGTCATTCAAAACAGTCACTGTTCCTAACTTGTAGAATTGTCCAGGATGATAATAAATGTGACCCTCATTCAAGGGACATATTAAACTTTCTGACCAGGGACACTTTTCAGACAATGACCCAGAGAAGTGGAGCTCAAGCAGGGTGCAATAGTATTACTGAGATCTTGAAACAGAGATCAGTATTCAGGACCACTAAAATCCCTTGCAGTTGCAGAACAGGACAAAGGAGAAGAGAGAGCTGCACAGAGAGGTTACCTCAAGTGTTGAAAGTCCACAAGACATAGCAGAAAATGGATGCCCTAGGACTTAGAGCTAAATAGAGCTACCAGAGGTTTCACGTTCTAGGAGACAGAGTTTTGAGACTCACTAACAACCTCATATATTTAGTTGAGACCTCAGAAAGACCATCCCTTAGGAGTAAAGACCATGCCCTAAAAGAAGAGTCACACCTTAGGGCTAAGGATAAAACTAAACTGAAACTATCCTAATGAAGAATAAAATAATCCTAACAGGGTCAGAAAGACCCACCAATAATTTAACTGCCTGCCAGAACAAAAATATGACTTTCTTTTAAAAAGAATAACATAATTCAGACTCCTTATAGTTCATCACCCAGACAGTCCAGCATATAATAACAAATTCATACATATGAAAAGAAGTAAGAAAATGTGATCTATAGGTAAGAAAAAAAAAAACAGCCAATAGAAACAGACCCTAAGATGACCTTGTTGAAATTAGCAAACAAGAACATTAAAAGAGCTATTATAAATATGTTAAAAGAATATGATGTTATCATATAAATATAACTTAGTAAATACATAGAAATCTCAGAAGAATTTTTTAAAAAGTAAATGGAAATTTGAACAATGAAATTACAATATATGAAATGAAATGTACTGAATGGGCTTAAGAGATGGGCTTAGAGATGGCAGAAGAGATAGTCAGTATGCTTAGATCCCTATTTATTATTATTATTATCATCCAAACTGAAGGGGAGAAAAAGACTTTTCATAAAGAAAAATAATGGAGATTCAGTGTTCTATGAAACAGTCTCAAGTACTATAACATATGTATTGTTAATTTCCAGAATAAGAGAGAAAATGGGGAAGAAAAAACTTTAAAGTAATAACCAGAAATTTTCCAAATAAACCAAGAATTTGACCTTCAAATTCAAGGCCAGTGAATCCAGTGTTAAATATTTTAAGAACCCCTAAATCCATCATACTTGAATTGTGGAAACACAAATATAAACAGAAAATATTTTTAAAAACCAGTGAAAAAGACACATTATATATAGTAAGACAATGAAATGAATGATGACTGACTTCTCATCAGAAATAACAAAAGCCAGAAGTCAAAAGAGCAAATTCTGTAGGGTGCTAAATAAGAAAAAGAAACAGAGACAAAGCCCAACAATTGACCAGAATTTTACATTTAGCAAAAATTATCTTAAAAATGAAAATAAAATTTAAAAAATATATATTTTACCTAAGTAAAAACTAAAACAATTCATGTTCAGCAGACCTTCACTACAAGATACTCTTAAAAAGCTACTTCAAACTGAAGAAATGAACTTCTTCTTTTTTTTTTTTTTTCCTTTTTGTCTTTTTTACTGACCGGTAACGGGATCGCAACACTCGGTGTCGCGCCCGCACCGGGGACCGGCAACAGGATCGCAACCCTCAGTGTTGCACCTGCCCCGCGCTCAGCCAGTGAGCGGGAACCGGTCTCCACATGGGATCCGAACCCTTGGCGGGAGCGCCGCTGCGCTCCCAAGCGGCGCACTCTCCAGTGCGCCACCGGGCCAGCCCAGAAATGAACTTCTGATATGCAAAAAGAAAATGAATAACATAAGAGTAGATAAATAGCTGGATAAAGATAATTAATATTATATTACTTTTTATTCTCTTAATTTCTTTTAAAAGCAACTAACTTTTTAAAGCAAAAATAAAACATTGTATTTTATGGTTTTGACACATTTTAAAGATATAAAAACAATAGTGCAAAAAATAAGGATAAATGGAATTATACTCTTGCAGTATTTTTACATTTTATGTGATGAAGTACAATATTAACACTGACTGTGAAAAGTTAAGGCTCATATAAGTAATTCCTAGAACAGTTCTGAAAAAAATACAGAGTCATAGCTAAAAAGCTAATAGAATAAATGAAATTGGATGCAAAAATAATCTGATAAATTCAGAAGAAATTGGAAAAAGAAAAAAACTGAGAAAGAAAAAAAAAGACGAGGCAAGTGGAAAATAAATGGCAAGATGGTAGATTAAGTCTAAGATTATCAATAATTACATTAAAATCAAATGGGCTATATATTCCAAGTAAGGGTAGATATTTTCATATTGGGTAAAAAAAAAAAAGACTTGATTATATGCTATCTACAAGAGGTGCACTGTAAATACAAAGACTCTGATAAGTTAAAAGTAAAAGAATAGAACAAGATAAATCACACAAACAGCAATCATAAGAAACCTTATGTGGCCATAATGATATCAGACAAAACAGACATCTTGACAAGAAATCTTACCAGAAACAAAAAGAACTATATCACAATGATAAAAAAGATCAGTTCTTCTGAACTACAGACAATTCTCACTGTCTGTACTTGTAATAATAGAGCTTCAAAATACACAAAGTAGGAAATAATAGGAATAAAGGGAAAAATGGAAAAATACGCAGTTATAGTTGGATATTTTAAAATACCTCACTCAGAAATTGTTAGAATAACTAGAGAAAAAATCAGAAAGAAAATACAAAGATTTGTACAACCCTATAAACTGTCTTGGTCTAATTCAAATTTTTAGAACAATATTACCCCCAAACTATAGAATACACATATTTTCAGGTATACATGGTATAGCATATGTATGCATATAATGCATATAGGCCATATGTTGGACCATAAAGGAAGTTCCAATATGTTTCTGAAGATTGAAACTTACACGTGTTTTCTGACAACAAAAGATTAAATAATAAAATAATAACAATAAGATATATAGAAATGCTCAAATATTTGGAAATTAAACAACATGTGTCTAAATAATCCATGAATGAAAATATAGCTTATAGGGGAAATTAGAAAATGCTCTGAACTGAGTGATAACAAAAACACAACATATTAAAATTTGTGTGATATCTCTAAAATGGTGCTAGGAGAGAAATATATTACTTTGAAAAATAGGTGATCTAAGTTTTCATCATAAGAGGCTAAGAAATTTAAACCCAAAATAAGCAGAAGAAATATAGAACAAAAGATGGTTCTTTGAAAGATTAATAAAATTGAGAAAACCTGAACAAGACTAGTCAGGAAAAAAGAGAGAATACACTAATTAGCAGCACTACGGATCCTACAGACATAAAAAAGGATAGTAAGGAATATTGTAACAACTTTATGCCAATAAATTTAACAACTTAGATGAAATGAACAAATCCCTTGAAAAAACAATTTTATAAAACTGACAAAAAGATATAGAAAAGAAAAATAGCCCATATCGAGTTTATTAAAAAAGTAAAGTTTATAACCACAAAGAAAATCCAAATGGCTTTACTAGTAATCCTATGGCAGACTTAAAGAAGAAATGATGCAATCATTCACAAACTACTTCCAAAAATGAAGGACCATTTCACATCTTGTTTTATGAAGCCAGCAAAATTCTGATATCAAAACTTGACAGAGACATTTCTATTAAAGAAGATTATGGCCAAATATCCCTCCCAAACACAAACACAAAGATTTATCACAAAACATTAGCAAATTAAATCCAGCAATATATAAGAATTCCAAATTATGAACAAGTGGGGTTTATACTAGAAATGCAAAGTTGTTTTAATATCCAAAAACAAAGTCACCATATTAACAAAACATGGGAGAAAAACTATGTATTAAATCAATATATGATCATCTTAATTTTAAAAAGTCATTTGGCAAAACTCAACACCCTTTTATGATTAAAACTTTGAGCAAAGTAGAAATAGATGGAAACTTCTCAATCTGACAAAGGGCATCTACAAAAAGCCCTATGATTAACAACATACTTGATGGTAAAATACTGAATTCTTTCCCCTTTATTTCTGGAAAAGAGTGGAAATGTTTTTTTAACCACTTCTATTCATTGTTGTACTAAAGGAGCTAGCCAGTAAAATAAGGCTTGAAAAATAAATAAAAAGCATAAGGATTAAAAAATTAGAAATTTTGCTTACTCATAGATATTATGATAGTTTATGTAGAAAACTTACAGAATCTACAAACATTTTAAAAAATATTAAAATTTAGAAGTGAATAAAGTAAGGTCACAGGATACAAAGTCACCATACAAATATCAGTAGGCAAAATTTGGATAAAAAAATGTTAAAATACCATTTACAAAAACATCGGTAGACAAAAAATATTTGGGAATAAAATTAGCAAAAGATATGTCAAAGCTGTAAATTAAAAAATATAAAATAATACCTATAGAGATTAAAGAAAATATTTTTAAAATCATAAGGTATGAGATGCTCATGGATTGGAAGGCAATATTGTTGAAGTGTCAATTCTCCCCAAGTTTTGTATACAGTCAATGCCATCCCAGTAAAAATTCCAACCAGCAATTTCACTGAAGTTAACAAGCTGATTCTACCATTCATATACAAATACAAAGGGCCTTGAAAAGCCTAAACAATCTCAAAAAGAACAAATTTGGAGATCCTACATTACCTGGTTTCAAGGCTTATAAGATTTCACAGGGGTGTTGATTACACAACGTATACATTTTTCAAAACACATTGGATTGGATTTGAGAGCTGTGTTTTTAACTGTATGTAAATCTTACCATAATAAAAAAATAATAAATTGCAATGTCCTATTGGCAGATTACACCACAAGAAGTTAGGGTACTTTCAGCTGAGGGTAGAGGAGAGGAGACAAGCATACGTGCAACAGACCCCTTTTTCTGTCTGTCTTTTTAGTAAGCGATGATGATGGATTATTCTGTGACAACTTGGCTAAACTGANCAGCAGAGCAACCATGCCATCTGGATTCATGTTTTCACCAAGAAAGAATTGGTAGTTTTTGCAATTAGCAAGGATGTGCTTGATTTGTTCTGCAGCCCCTGTCATAAAAGGTTTTACTCTTTCTGGCCTCTGTTTTTCAAGTTTCCATTTGATTGATTTCATGTAATCTTTGACGTACTTATTGTAGGCTCCTTTCGTGAAGCTGGTTTCCTGCAAGTGATGGTTCATGACAGTGTCAACACCAGTGATTACTGTGCTTTCAGTACCTTTGCCCTCGGGCCCTTCAGCGGAGGCATTTCCACCAATGAGCGAGTCATCAATGTTACCCTCC